TCCTGCTGCCCCTCTCACCCAACTGTCCGACATATTAAAACCATACACACAACTCTTGCTGAAATTAATCCTCAACCCCGACATCAACTCAAACCACCTCAGAATAGCTTTTACCATGAGGATATTTTCTTTGCTTGCCTTGCCCAAAATAACTGTGTCATCTGCAAATTGTAACAAAGAGACCGCCAACCCCCTCCTACCCACCTTTACCCCTTGTAACATGCCTTCATTTTCTGCTTTTTTAACCAGTCCATGCAATGCCTCTCCAACCATCAAAAATAAAAAAGGAGACAAAGGATCTCCTTGCCTGAGCCCTTTCCCTATTTCAAACTCCTTGGTCGAACTACCATTTACCAATACCGATACCCTGGCAGTTGATAGACACTCCATAATCCACCCCCTCCATTTATCGCCAAAGCCAAACGCTCCCAACATCCAGTCCAAAAATGACCAATTAACACAATTATATGCTTTTTGAAAATCAGCCTTAAAGACAAAAGCTGGTTGCTTCCTCTTGCGAACCTCATCCACAACTTCATTTTGAACCAAAACACTATCAACCAATTGTCTTCCCCCTACAAAGGCCGATTGCATTTCGCTAATAATCACTGGCATCACATCCTTAAGCCTATTAGCTAACACCTTTGCTAGCAACTTATACATGCAGCCAATTAAACTAATAGGCCTAAAGTCTTTTAGTTCCCTAGGGCTCAGTTTCTTCGGGATTAATGTAAGGAAGGAAGAATTCAAACCCCTCACTAACCTGCTATTTTGATGAAAATCCCGGAAATAAGCAATAAAGTCTTCTCTTACACTACTCCAGATGAATTTAAGGAGATTAAAGTTATACCCGTCAGGTTCCGGAGCTTTACTTCCTTCACAACTCTTCAAGCCTTCTTCAATCTCCTCATCAGTAAAAGGCCTTTCAAGCCACTCATGCTGATCTTTAGAAATTCTCCAAAAAACCAGATTTGAAGGTTTGGGTCGGTTCCAAGCTTCTTCTTGAAACATCTTGCAGAAGTACTCCACCATCTCATCCTTAACCATCTCCGGATCCTCTACCCACTGTCCGTTAGACCATAATTCTGAGATACTATTTTGTGCCTTACTCCCATTTGCACTTTTGTGAAAATATCTCGTGTTCTGATCCCCCAGTTTAACCCAATCACATCTAGATTTTTGCTTCCAAATAGCCTCCCTATTCCGCAAAATATCCCATACCTGTTGGAAGCCTTCTTTTCTTAGATCCACCTCCTCCTCCGCCAATTCCATCACTTCATTCTTCAAATCAATTTGTTCTACACTCTTGACCACATGTTGAAAATGTGCTTCCATGTCTCCGAACACTTCCTTATTCCATCCTTTTAAAAATTCCTTCAACCTCTTAAGCTTCTGTTTACATCTATATGCCGCGTACCCTTCCTCCTCGAGCTCCTTCCATTTATCTTCAATCACCTTCTTGAATTGCGGGTGCTGCTGCCAAGCATCCAAAACTCGGAATGGTTTTGGTCCCCAATCAGCTACTGTTGTTTTGACCATAATCGGACAATGATCAGACACAATCCTCTTCAATCCATGCTGCACCCATCCCTTTCCCGAACTGTACATCTCACCAGACATCAGGACTATATCCAAACGACTCATAGACGACCCATCTGGGCGATACCATGTAAAACGTCTATTTGCCAGATGAATATCTACCAACCCAATTGCCACAACAAAATCATCAAACTCCCTCATATCCTGAGTCTCCCCTGTCCTACCCTTCCTCTCGTTAGGACTCCTAACTGCATTAAAGTCCCCTGCAATCATCCATCTCCCTTCCTCTTCCATTATCATTTGCCGAAGTTCATTCCACATAATCATTTTCTTTTTCTTGTCATTTGAGGCATAAACATTCACAAAATTGCACTTCAACTTCTTAGGTCCCCATTCTCCTCTAATCCGCACGAACCCATTACCAGAGATTACCCTCTATTTAACAAACTCAAGTCGATTCCATATACACAATAAACCCCCCTAGGCTCCACTCGATTCCTTCATCTCCCAATCATAATCATCTGAAAACCACAATATTTTACATAGTGCACCCTCCACCACTTCTAATTTTGTCTCTTGTAGAAATAAGAAATCGAGTCGCTCTGTTCTTACCAACTTACTAACCTCCCTCCTTTTCACTAAACTCCCTAACCCCCTCACATTAAATGAAATTAACTTCATAAGAAATCACCACCACGCACCCCTCCCCCTCGACCGCCCCTACCCTTACTGCACCTTCCCCTGCCCACACTCCCGAACCTCCAAATCTAGCAACCTCGACTGAACCTCCTCTTCATTATCTTGCCACTGTATACCCAATCTTTTCCCTACACTAAAAATCCTCCTTACCTCTTGTAGATTCAGCTCTTTTTGGATCACCTGGTTTCGGTTGGCTATACACCCATCCGACAGCGAAGAACAGCCAACACCCTGCTCCTGTGTCTCCTGCAGCTGCTGCGCTTTGTGTGATCTGTGTGGTCTCAGCGTTTTTCTTCCTGAAATCCCCTGGGATCCCGCTGCAAGATTGATTGCCTACACTTATGGCTAACAATCTTTGATATCTCTTCTCTTCCTCTCTCTCGAATCCCTAATACCCAAATGCAAATGATTATTTAATTCCCCACCAGATGCACCTTGTTGATCACTTGATTTACCCGAATCTGTATTGAACCCCAAACCACCTGAAGCCTGCATTTTGGTTGCACGCAAATCTAGTCCAGACCCTTCTTTCGGCCCATAAATGGAGTCCAGCCTCAAGCCCGATTCTGTGGCAGGCCCATTGCTTGGCTACCGTTACTTCTTCATCATTTAAATTCAAAATGCCCTTCTCCTACATTAACTCATCCTCAATATCAGCTTCATCATCGCCACGAATCGCGGAGGCCATCAATTCAGGCTCCTCCTCTCCGTGTTCCGACGAGGAATATTCCGATCCCAATGTAGTCTCATCGTTTCGATCATCATCCACTAACCACCAGTCCGGATCGGCTCGCCACTCTTCCTCCGTCACTATTATCTCATACAGCTTCTCCTCCACCTTCAGCTTCATGGTCTTTGAGATTTTGTGCTTTTCAGCACATAAAATTAAAACTCTTCCATCACACAATATAGATTTTGATTTGGTATCTGCATGAAGCATTACCACTTCCCCCACCGATGCTGCTATCTGCTCAAAGCATTTGTCACACCATGCTTTTAATGGGACACCAGAAATTCTCAACCAGACCATTCTACCACTATTCAAAGGAGCCATAGCCCAAGGATAGATAACCTCACACCAAAGATCAAATGATTCCTTGTTTTGCTGTATATACTCACTCAAGTAGCCTTCCACACGTTCAGTCAACAATACACTCCGCCCTCCTACTGGAGATAGATTAATCAATCTTCCATCGATGTCTACTCTCTCTTGTATGTTGGATATCATTGACATCGATCTCACTACCGCTACAACACTCCCTTCCAACCACATATTCTCCTTTTCGGATGGCAAGAATTCTATGATACTCTCCTTCATTTCTCCATCCATAGCTCTACCTACCTTTTCACCGGATCTAGCAGCCTCAAGCCCCAAAGGCTTCCCTGGAGCGATGGACTCACTGTCCACGGGATCAGCTCTCTCCTGCACCCCTACTGTTTTCCTCCAAACCTGGGCACCCACTATCCTCGAAGTGTATCCCTTGACCTCTTGAGCATATGACCACCTTGGTTTGACGAAACTCTGCTCCCTGATTCTACCCTTCATCTCGGCTTTCTTCTGATAATCTATTCCATTTTGCCCCCTGTCGATGGCTACCTTGACTCGCAGTTTATAAGAACCGATCCAGATCTGATTCAGTCTCCCTTCCAGTTGTTGAACATCCTGCACCCCTATCATTCTGACGAAACCGAACCTTTTCCCCCATTTGTCCCTCTTTGCTAGCACAAACACATCACTGACCTTTCCACACTCTTGAAAACGATGCCATAATGCCTTTGCGTACCAATTGTCCGGGAAATTATAAAAGAAGAACGACTGTCCCTGTCTCCAATTCCCAAACTCCCCAGTCATCTGGTGCTGCCTTTGCCGTCGTCTGGAGTTGTCGCCGTCCCATGTCCCGTCGTCTCACGCTCTAAACCTAGACCTCGCCATTCATATCTTGTTGCATTTATTCTTCGGTAATCTTATTATGCTTTTATATTAAAACTGGAATATTAAATTTACTACTTTACAATGATAACGTGTTTACCGTATGATTCACTCCTTTCAGTTATTTCTCATTATGGAGAAGTCTGATGTAGCACAACCAATTTCCACAATCCTTAGTGGATCAAATTACCTACTCTGGGTTCAAGGAACGAAAATTATGGCGATATAAGTTAGGTGATATTAATCCTCCAAAGGAAGTTGCTGGTGAGGCGGATCAGAAATTTGCGGAACACTTGGAAGACTAAGATAGCGAAAATCATTAGATTATTACTTGGTTACGTAACTCCTCCATTTCTTCCATCCACCTCCAGCTTGGCCAGTATGATACGGCTAAGGAGGTATGGGATTTGCTTGTAACAAGGTACGCTACTTCAGATTTATCTAGTTAGTATCAATTGTGGGAAGAATTACATAATTTGAAATAGAAACATGGTGATCTATCACTAGTTTTTATTTCAAGATGGAAGCATGCAAGGGGTGTTAGAATATTAGTGTTCATACTATATTAGTATGTTTACACTTTAATTGATTGTATATAATTAAATTAATTAATTTTATACCTACAAATATTTTATTATATAGACCTAATTTATTTCTTGTACTAAAGATCCCATTTGGTATAGTGCTTTGGGGTTAACGGATAGTGATTTTGTCCAAATTGTTAGATATTTGATAAATTTATTTATTTTGAAACTACTACAAATTAAGTGTTTAATAAAAATTTTTATTTAGTAGTTTAGGATTAGTAGATAACAATCCAAATTGTTAACTAATTAAAAAAGCTTTTTGTACTAAACGGTTAGTAAATCAAAATTTTTTTAATCTTATTAATAAAGTTATCCATTTTATTTTGTTAATTACTATGATTTTTAATTTATACTTATCTA